CCTCGTGTGCGTTTCTTGATGAAGTTGTAAGCGATCTATTTTGGCGGTCTCTCTCTCGAGAGAGATCTCTCAATCTGAAATGGAGTTTGACAGTTAAATGTCGATAAAAAGCTTTATCATTATCGCGTTTTGATGCTCATGCAACGGAGGCAAGGGACTTTCTCATCTAGGGTATGCTGCCCATTTTATGATTTGTCTAATTTATTGTTAAGGGATTCCTTTTTGTCAAAACCAAAATTGTAGCGCACTTCTATATGTTTGGCTCTGACATGTATGAGTACTTCGTTCGGTAAATACAGCTTGACCGATTCGTAGTTACGATTGTTCAATAATTATTTAAGCTTTTTATTTCAGATTAGCTGAAGCATCAGATTCAGCTACAATTGTAGTCCTGTATTGTTCTTGGCGTTGTGTATCTAGGTGTTTGGTGTGTTGTGGCTGTTGTTATATAACTATTAGGTATTTCACTATTCCTTTTTGAGGCGGCTTCGGCAACCATCTGAATGTATCCCAGCAAATGCAGTCTGGTGGTTTTTGCTCCCAGCAGGTCCCCCAAAGTTTCCCTTTCAATTTTGGCCCCTGTGATGCACTCCAAGTTGAAACGTGCCAGGGCAAAACGAGGGCATTCAAGCAGAAGATGCCAAACCGACTCACTCAGGTTCGGGTCACATTCGCACCCCGGTTCCTCCCTCAGCCTGAACCGGTGCAAATTTTCCCCGAACCCTCCAAGTCCCGTTAAAATCTGGATCTGGTGATATGTGAGATTTTCCTCCCGGACTATCTTATAGGCGTTTTTGACATCCGGGAAGAAGGTTTTTGTCACCATGCCAGTAGAGGAGGAGTCGTATCGATCTTGCCATCGAGCTAGCGACTCCTGTCTGATACCTCTTTTGACATGGGACAGCGGGACATGGTCGTAGTCGGATCTGCTGTTGGTAGTTGTTTTGGCACCCTCTTTAGCCAATTCGTCTGCCCTCTCGTTACCCCCAGTTCCAATATGTGCACGAATCCAGCACAGCCTCACCGTTCTCCCGGTCCCACGGATATCCGCTAGATCCTTCTTTATGACTCTGGCCAGAGGGTGCAGCGTTGTAGGGTTTGAGAGCAACTCCAGTGACGATCGTGAGTCACTTAAGATGGTGATAATGCTCGATTTGCTCTCTTTGGCCCTTTGCACCGCCCTGTGTAGAGCATAAAGCTCTGCTTGGAACACCGTGCACACCGGGTCCAGACTGAAGATGTTATGAAGAGCCTCGAGGCCCCCTCCCACCACGTCCGAGCTGCCCCCACCCCGCCATCCATTTTGCTCCCATCAGTGTAAATAACTGGTCCAGCACCATGGATGGCTGTTAGGGTGCTCTCGGTGACATCATTGAGGATCTCATACAAAGGTATTATAGTATGAGCAGGGTGCGGTAGGTCTTTAGGTGGCACCCTTTCCTCGATGTGTCGTCCCGGTGGCAAGAATGAGTCGTCGAGTCCCCTCTTCTCCCGGTACAATGCGACCGTCTCTTGGATTCACAGGTCGATTGGTAAGACTCCCGCCAGGATCAGCGCAGATGTCAAAGACACCGTCCGGTAGGCCTTACAGATTCTTTGTGCGAACCCTCTCTGAATTGCCTCCAGTTTCTTCCGATTTGTTTCTAGTTCGGATGCCGCAGCCCAAGCGTATGCCCCATAGGTGATAATGGGCTCTATGACCGCTACGTATATCGTTCTTACAATTTCTCCATTTAGTCCCCATGTTACCTTCGCCGCGCACGCAAGTTGTTTAAATATATCCGCTGTCTTTTTGCATACATTGGATACGTGCGCGTTGAAGTTGAGGCGCCTGTCTATTGTTAAACCGAGGAGTTTAATCTCATCCACCAGAGCTATCGGCGTGCCTGCCATTGTGATGTGGGGTGGTTTGAAAACAAGCTTCTTGGTTATCAGCATCGCGTAGGTTTTATGCGCTGCAAAGTTCAGCTTGTTTTCTTTCCCCCACTGCAGGGTCTTCTCCAAAGTCTGGTCGACGAGATACTCCATATCCTCAGGTGACCTCTCGGAGAACACCAGAACAATATCGTCGGCGAAAGCCTGGCAATGGACCCCCCCGACCGATAGTTTAACCAGGAGGGAGTCAATGAGGACATTCCAAAAGGTGGGTCCTCCAATTGAGCCTTGGACGCATCCCTTCGTGGTCAATTTCTCGCATTTCTCCCCCGAATAGTTTATTACTACCTTTCTGTCTTGGAGGTAGGATTCCACTGCCAGGTAGAGGTTTCTGGGGCATCGCTTTTCCATCAGTTGGTACTTTATCGCCGGCCACCACGCGTTATCGAATGCCCCCTCTATGTCCAATGAGACCATTATTATAGACCTTTTACTGGCCAATTCCTTTCTTATATGGCTCAACAGGTTATAGAGGGCGTCCTCTGTCCCGCGCTGCGACATAAATCCGTATTGTCGCTGGTCCAGGCTGGGTAACATGTGCCACTGTAGTCTCTTAATCAGGAGTTTCTCCACCGTTTTGCCGAGGACCGATAGTAGGATTAGGATGGGTATAATCCTCTTTTCCTGGTTTCGGTAAGATCACTACATGGGCAATTTTCCACGGCTTGGGGAAGTAAGAGATCTGGAGACATTTATTGGCTATCTCAATAAATACTTCCATTCCACCGTGGATTGCCCTGGCGCAGATGTCTGATGTGAGGCCGTCCGGTCCCGGTGCTTTCCTTGGATTCTGAGCTTTAAGTACAGCTTCGACTTCAGCTTCCGTGAACGGAGGGTCATCACATTTAAGTTTTCCCAGTCTATTTTGGTCGACTGAATCTGCTCCACTTCGCATTTGTGCTTGTTCGGGGTTATCGGTGGCTGCTTAGTCCTCCGGGTAAAGTGTGGAGGCAAGGAGTTCCGCAGACCCCTTAGGTGTAAGGGTACTTCCGTCTGGTCCCCATAATAGTATGTCGTCAGATCTCCTTTTGGTTTTTCTCAGCACCCTGTATATCCCGTCCCACATGCTCTCGTGTTCTTGGGTGGAGCAAAATTCTTTCCAGCTACTTGTTTGGGCTTCTTGTGATTTTTCCTTATATAGGAGTTTGGCCTCATAGTACTCATTCAGTACGGACTCTAGGCGTGATGGGGCCGCGTTTCGTATGCGTCTTTTTTTCCGAGGTGTATCTTTGCGGAGTCCTTCTATTTCAGCCGACCACCATGGAGGTTTCAAGTGGGCTTTGTATGGCTTTATGTGAGGGATAGACTCCTCGCATGCTTCCTTTATTGCCGCTGTATATTGCTCTATAATGAAATCCAGCTCGCTGGCCGCGGTCACTCCTCTGATTCGGTCGGCGTTGATGTCGTTTGCTTCCAGGGACTTTTGAAGATGTGAATCGAACACCTCCCACCTCGCTTTGTTGGTATTGTACATCCTAGTGGTTGGGGGCCTGACTGGTTTCAGTCTCTCCCCCACCTCCAGAGTGAACGTAATTGCGTTGTGGTCCGACGTGATTAGGTCCCGATTCACCCTCCACTCCTTTAGATTCCTTAGCACCCCCCTTGCGCTGCATGCAGTTACATCTACTATGCTGGTACATAGTTTGCCCCGTCTGACCTCCTCAAAGGTTGGTATATTGCCCTCGTTCAGCACATGGTAGTCAATTTCGGTAAGAAATGCGCTATATGTATGTCCCCTTTGATTCTCATCACTACTGCCCCACCAGTAGCTCCAGGCATTTATATCCCCTCCCAGTATTATTTTATCCGTTGTTAATGTTATTTTTTCGCATAATACTTTTGTGTGCCCAATGTTCAGCTCTATGTCCGCGTCCCCCTCGTAGTACACTGAGACCACTCCAACCTTAAGGCCTCCAGACTCCAGCAGGGCAGCCGCCTCCGTTTCGGTTACCATTTGAGGGCCACAAGTGACCCTGAAAATGTCACCGAATACGAGTATTGCCGCCTTTACTGGCTTCTGTCGGTTGAGGGTGCACTGGATAATAGTTGTGCCAGGATATCTCTTAATCACCCCCGCAGAGCCAACATATGGCTCCTGCACGAGTGCGACAGCGATCTTCCTCTCCTCAGCTAGATGAAGTAACTCTGCCATGGCTTGTTTAGAGCGTCTCAGGTTGGCTTGAACGAATTTGAGCCTTGTTATGCGACTGTCGGGGGTTGAGCTTGAACTTTGGGTGATAGTTTGGGCGCCCTTAGCAGTATGCTATTTTTTCCCTGGCTATATAATCCCAGGTTTGTTTTTCTTGGCATTCATCACTATAGGCCATGTGCGGCCCAATGGCCGTTGCGCTCCGCTTTGCCCTGGCACAGTTGGCACCAGGAGTGACCCTCGCCACAGTAATTGCAAGTAGGCTGTTTCTCCTTGCATAGATTTTTTGTATGGCCAAACTCTAGGCAATTTGCGCACTGGATGAGCGGGGACTGGTCCACCACAGTTCGCCTTTCAAGGCCTATGTGGACCACTCCCACCTACCATGCGCTGATGGACAGCCGGGGACACCTCAATCACAGGGTGGCACTGTAGTTCATTTCTCGCCCATTTCCTGTACCTTACTTTGAGGGTTGTCTCTTTGTCTGTAAGGCCCTCGAATATTTTTTTATTCTGGGCCCTCAGGTTTTCAACGATCTCCTCGTTGGTGTGGTATAGCATTAAATTTTTGATTCTGATGAGGGGATTTGCCTTGGCCACCGCCCGCAGTTCTAGTGATTTGTTGGTCTTTAATTGTTCTTTGAGGAGCTTCGCGTCCTCCCCGGTTTCGCAGCTTAGGACTACCTTACGGTCCTTTGCTTTCCTCACTCTGTCTACTTTCAGACCGATGGACTTGAAGTTAAGTGTGCTTCTTATCGTGTCTATTACCCCGTCACCTGTTTTCGTAGGGTCGGTGCTCGACACGATGATGGTGTGGCTTGACTTGTTATTCTTGCGGACCACTTGGGCGAAGCTGGGTTGGCTCCGGGGAAGACGCGGCTTCTCGAGTTGTTGCTGTTTTCGATTACTGTTGTACCATTCCATGGTGGTTCTTATTTCATCCGATTTTGATGCAATTTTGGCCATGCTCTCTTTTACTGGATTGAGGAGCGCCTCCATTCTGGCCGTCGTATTCGCAAGCATTAGTTCGGATCCTAGTCCCATCTCGGACCGACCCGGAAGCCCATTTGTGAGGACGACGTCCCTGACCTCCTCCACTCCCTCCCGCAACTGTCTGTTCGTATTAATTATTGGAGCTAAAGATGTATTTACGACTTCCCTCAGCTCTTCGCCAGTGACAGGTCTTAGTTGAGTGAATTCGCGTCGCAGCTGCTCCACGTCCTCCCCCATCCTGGATAGCTCATTCTTCATATCCGTGATGACTTCGTTTTCTGCCCCCGGGGGGGGGGGGGGGGGTGCTCAGCCGCGCTCTCTTGGACCGGCTCCTGTCTCTGGGTCTTATCTTGATCTTTTACTTCAAGATGGATGGCCCTAACCGTCTTGATAAGGCCATCCATCTCGAAGTCCAGCCATCCCTGTACCCCGGAGACCGCTTTGCTGGTACCGGTCCATGCCTCCTTGACATCTTGGAGGCGCTCATCAAAGCTTACCTGCATGCGCCGCATTTCCTTATTGTGGGCTCTCTCTACACGAACCAGCTCTCTCGCGGCTATTGTTCTTTCTACCTCCAGGTTTAACCTGTGGTGATTCCGAGAATCCGCCAGCGAGAGAACTAGTTCGTATAGATTTCCGAGGCACTCGACGGCCGTGGCTCTCAGTTCCCTTTTGAGGGTTTTCGAGCTCTCGAGTGCCTCTTTTCCCACCTGCAGGTACTCGCGTGCCCTATCTGTGGCAAGGTCTTTGCACACCCCCGAATGGTGTCCCATTGTTGGTAAAACGCTGAGGCGTCTCTCGCTTTCGACGGTCTCCGCGTCCGTCCATTCTGAGGCTGCACTGCCCCCTTCCCACTTTTCCTGTTCTTCCTCCTCATTACACGTCGTTGCGGACCACACGATGCTGTAGTGGTCCTTCTTTGGGTGGGTCGGGGGGAGCCGCGACGCACAGACCGTCTCCTCGGTCGACGTCCCCGCTACAGGGCATAATGGGCTCTCCGTGTCGGCTGTGTCTGTTTTGGATGGATCGATCGGAGGTTCCTGGTCCTGGTCCGTCGTTTCCATGTCTATTATTCCCGTAGCTCTCTCTTTTGGGGTTTCTGTAGCAGGAAGGGTGGCATCTAGTATGGATACGTTTGCCAGTGGCCTCAAATCGTCCATTGTAGATTTCCTGGCCGCTATTTGTGCATTTTTGATTGAGACCCCCCTTCGGAGCCCGCCAGAGTTGGTCTTCATCTGCCGTAATTGTTGGATGGCTACTGCTCCGCCCAACTCTGTCGGGCCTGGGGGCCTTTTTTTGAATTTTTAACAACAGTGGTTGTGATTTTTTGGTTTTTGCCGTGAGTCTTGTGTGGTTGTGGTGTGTTTGGGTTGCGTAAGTGGGAAATATTCTGTAGTGGGTACTGTTTCTGTATGTGTAGATGACGGTATAGACGGTTGTGAGTGTGCTTGAGAACTTTCGTGTGTTTGTGTTGCTGATGTTAATGACATTTGTGTAGTTTGTGGTGATGTGATATCTGTGTTCGGTTGTAATAGTGTGTTCTGGTTGTCCTCTTGAGTTTGTTTGTGTGTGTGTGTGTGTGTGAGTGAATGTGTGGTTGCCACATCTCCCTTAGGTGACCTACGCTTGCGGCGGATCGAAGGAAGTCGAACTTTTTGTGGACGACATGTTTAATATTGCCAATAACGATTGATACTAAGGATATTTAGTTTAATTTCGAAGAAATTTTCTTCTTAGAAAATAATCCAAGAACCTATAGACAATCTCAACTTACAACACAGTAAGCACGTGTTCGAGTTATATTATATCAAGCTTATTTAATATCACAAAGGAATTTAATTATTAGCTTTGTCATCAACTTTATCAAACTAACTCAGTGTGTAAACATAGCATACTATTATCAAGCAAGTAAATTCATTATCAATATCGTACTACATAATATAATATATATTTAGTATCTCATCAACTTTATCAAACTAACTCGAAGTGTGTAAATATAACATACTATTATCATGCAAGTAAATTCACTATCAATATCATAGTGTAATATATATTTAACATCACGTTTGCTTTGTACCCGACGTCACCGAGCGTATACAAACACAAACACGCAGTCGATACAATCAATATTTGTGGAATAAGTTACGCGATTCCTCGAAACCACTCATTATAGTTCCGGAGTTACGCGGAGCCCGTAATAGGCGACTTACGCGTCGTAACTCCACGTGTGTTCGCTGGAGATAACGAGAGTAAACAGGCTATTAAACGAGCTTTACGGACTCTAAGAGTGTCCAACATGTCAGGAAGTTGGTTTCCTTTTAACAAGAAAAAAAGATAATACTTACCAGCTAAACAAAACTTTATTAGGAAAAAAATCCACTCTGGCCAGCTGGCCTATTCGCTAACTTTTTTGATATTTACAGTATGTAAATAAAGAGAAAATTGCATATCCATTGATGCTTTTTAGAACAAGTATCTTAGTGGCATTATAATTAAGCAGTATATTTATTTATTTTTGAGAAACCAACAGCGATACATATAGATATTACATAATTGAACTTAGTAATAAGAATGGCCAATAACAGGTTTCTACGAATTAAATTAGGTACAAAAACTGGCGTTTTGCAGGCTAAACTAAGGTTACATGTAGGTATACATATAATAATGCCAGGTCGCGTGAGAACGTTGCAAGGCGGCTATTATTGTTGATACTTTAATTTAGTAATTATATTGGTTTTGACAGTGCTTTTAGTACTTGAGAAAATGTCTATACCACTAAAAAGTCTGTTATATAAGACAGGTAACCGAGTCAGAATTGTATTTGCTCTATACAAAGTAACATGTGGTGGAGTGGCGAATAACGGGGTGATTCTAGTACGACGCTTTGGGTTACAGAATTTAATCTTAGCTAAAAGTTCAGGGGTATCAATATTGCCTCTTACGATATCAAACAGAAAGATCATATCCGATAGTATCCTACGCTCTTCAAGAGTTAATAGCCCATTTTTATGACAATTATTAACATAATCGGATGAGCGACAAGTTCCCATGTAATTGAGGTATCTCATGAAATGGCGTTGTATTCCCTCGATTCTATTTACGTGCGATTTGTAGAAAGGAGACCATATATTACTATAATATTCTAGCACACTTCTTACATAGGTATAGTAGACCACTTTTAAAATGATTATTTTAATCCTTAAAAGGTGCACAAGAACGTATAACGAATCCTAAATTACGGTAAGCTTTAGCAACGATGGCATCTTTGTGATTTACTAGTTACATTTTGCCGTCAAAGAGAATGCCCAGCTCCCTTATTACTTCCACCCTACCAATGGAGAATCCGTCAAAATTGTAACTAAATGTGAGACAAGAGTTATTCCGAGTGAATGTTATGCACTCACTTTTATTAATGTTGATTGATATCTTATTCACAACTTAAAAATCGTATAGCCTATTAAGATCCTCTTGCGGCAATATACAGTCATCAATAGTTTTGATAGACATATATATTTTCATATCATCTGCATAAAGTAAGTAACAAGCGTGTTTTATACAATTGTATACATCATGAATATACACATTATACATAAGAGGACCAAATTGGGAGCCTTGTGGCACACCCGAAGGTATATCTATCCAATGATATCTATATCCACTCATAACAATAGCTTGCGATCGGTTATACAAATACGATTCTAGCCAACGCAAAAGGACTCCGTGAATACCAAGTGAGTAAAGCTTAGTGAGCAGGATCACGTGATCTACCCGATCGAAAGCCTTTCCAAAATCGCTGTAGATGACGTCAACCTGCCCTCTGCCCTCCATGTTACTCAAAACAAAATTTGAAAAGCAAGCCAAATTTGTATTGGTTGAACATTTCTTCATGAAACCATGTTGTTCGTGCGATATGCCTTAAGAAATAACCGGGTTAAGGTTTTTTAAAACTACCTTCTTTAAAAGTTTACTGATAGTACACAAAATAGAGATCAGCCGGTAGTTTTTAATATCCGATTTAGACCCTTTTTATGTATGGGGATTATGTATGTTTTTTTCCAAATGGATGGGAAAGTGCATACCCGTAATGAGCACGCAAAGATCATCGTGATAAGAGTTACCAAAGTAGATGCACAGTGTTTTAGAAGAATGGGGGGAATTTCGTCACATCCGTAACCTTTTGTATGGTTTACAGTTTCCAATAAGCGAAGGACTTCTGTTCGGCTTACTTCAATCTTAGATAGAGAGTGAGTTGCTAAAATATTGTAACTGCTGTCTGAGGCAGAAAGATTATATAAATTAGTTGTCGATGCTACATTATGTACAATTTGAAAAAAACCATTAAAGGCACTGCAAATACTATCGCCGTTGTTAAAAATCTGGTCGCCTAAAGAAAATTATTTTGGGTAGGTTGTACCATCCCGTTTTGACTTAACGTATTTCCAGAACATTTTTGGGGGAGATTTTATAAGTCGTTCACAATACAATGTAAAATCATTGAAGCATTGACGCTGCACTTTATGATGTTTCCTGCGCAATGACGAGTATTCAGCATAATCACGTGGGTTGTTGAATCTCTTCCACCGACTATGTAACATTGGACATTATTTAATGATTTTTACTAGTGACCAGTTGTACCATACAGGGTACTTAGTATTAGTCGGAAAAGTTTTCGGTATATACAACTCAATTCCAGTCAATAATTTTGCATAAAATTGAGATACAGCTATGTCCAAGTTTACCGCAGTATCAATAAAGCTACAATCAGCTTATACAAAATATTTGTTTAACTTAACAAAATCAGATCTAAGAAAATTAAAGCGAGTTTCTCATTTACTCATTAATGATTTTGTAAAATCATCAAACATATTTATTAAAAACGGTGGATGGTGAGGGTTAAAAAGATCTAGTATTTTAGAGCGTAGGCCACGTGTGTTTTGATAGTAAATACTTATATTTTTACTATTGGTAGCCATTCCTGTACGATTGCTTTAAACACCCTGAACAAAGCAGCTTATCACTATCAAAACTAGAAAATAAAATAGATAATAACAAAGTAAGTAATTATGATAATTTAAAATTGCTGTCGAGCTACAAACATGAAGTAGTGATAAAAACACCTTTGTAATACGATAATTTGTAAAATAAAGCGTAAAAAACATTATTAAACTATATGAATAGACGTTTATGTTATATAATTTAACAAATAATCCGCCGGATTGTTTTGTATTTTTAAGTATTGAGACATAATTATTATAAAAAAAATAAAAATCTTTGCTGCACTCCCATCGCACCACAATACCTTACACATACTAGACATACAAACTATAAAAACTATTCCAAAAAAATGATAACACTACCGGTATCAAGTATTCCTTCCAAACAACTACAAAATAAAATTATAATTAATGTATTTTCGTTAAGTCCGTGTCGTTTTGTATTCTGGTAATAGCAGAGGAGTTGTCTTTTCGCATAAAAATATTGCAGTTTTATCCAAACATATTTGTTTAATTTAGATTTAGCAACTTCACGGCATTTTTTAATCAATTTTTTGTTATCGACCGTCAGATGTTTATTTTTTTACCTGAATATCATTGATAATAGACATAGCCTTCTTATGGTCAGATCTGATAGAACTGAACTCAGCGTGAAAATCAGTTATGGATAACTTGATTGCCTCCAACTCCATTTTCAGCTCATTATTTTGACTTTTAATATCTTGAACCATTGATTTAATTTCACTCATAAATGATTTTAGTGCGTCATCGCAAATTTTCTCCCTTCTACGACGTTCGTAGTTATATTAGAATCGTCTGTGAGGTCCGAGTTTGAAGCAAGCACTCTTTGCGTGACGAGTGGGGAGACACGGCGGCTTGATATTGTAGTATGAAGGAGCAGGATAGATAGTGTCCGCACAACGTTGTTTAGAGTGACAATTACAGGCGCGGTCGCAGCCTTAGATTTTGGCGGGGGTCACTCACTACACTAATCAAAAATAGGTATCTGGCATAAAATAAACATTTTTGCACAAGGCACAATTTTATTTTATACATTACTTATAAAACAAATGGAAGTCGTCTTTTTGTATTTGCGAATCGGGTGATAATATTTGAGACGTCTGGTACTATTTCCGGGCGAATGTTTAGAAGAGCTAAACTTGTTAATCGCTGTTCTAACATGTTAGCTCTCAACCACGTTTTTACACGCCTAAGCGTAGAAAAGGATCGCTCTGCTGTCGCACCACTTATGGGAAGAGTTGCCAGAATTTTGAGAAATGTCTTTATATTTGGATATAAATCATCATCACAAACTTCGATGGCAGAAAGTACACACTTAGGAAGTTTCGTATCAGCATTTTCTGTGAGCTCCCGTTTCCACTTTGTAATCCATAGCTGATACTTTGCAACGACAGTGGCAGCAGGAACATTTAAAGAATGGGAATAGAATTCAGATACTTTCTTGACAATAAGAAGATCTTCTTCTGTATATTCAGATTTTGGCATAAAAATGCCTATTCCGAACAAGTTTATTGTATCCGCAGAAAGTCGTTCTTGTAGGTCAGTAATTTATGCTATCTATAAGTGAAGTATAAACAGTTCTCTGAAAATATTCCTCGTTATTTCCTTCATAATTATCGCGAAGTGTCTGCCGAGGCGCAGTACGAGGTTTCATTTCCTTTTATAATTTGGCAAATTTTTGAGATTTTTCAATTTGACCTTAGATTTGGGGAAAATATATTTAGTCGCTACCACTGAGACTATTGATGTATTTTGAATATCGATTGAATATTTTATTAGCATAATAACAGTAACACATCCGCTCCAGCGGCAGGCGAGTCGAAGAAGTATATGTAGTAGATCACTCAATAGCTCAGTGATTATCATTTCTATCTGTCAAAAGCAGTTAGTAAATAGGCCTACTGGTGTCAAGCAGGATTATACCAGATGTTAATTACCAGCTGCTAAGTAACAAGAAAAAAAAAAAATAATACCAGCTGATACTTTTTCTCGGTTCGTTCGTTGCAGTCCATTCTGACTGCTTCAAGCCGCCCGTGTATAGAGGCTTTCAGAAAGAAATAATAAAGGAAACATCTGGGCAATGGGTGACCCACTCTCACTATGATTTCCGTGTTTCTCCAAAAATTACAAATTTCGCTTTGTTGTATAATAATAATAAATCTTTATTCATCATCATCATCAGCCTATTAATGTCTCCACTGCTGGGGCACAGGCCTTCCCTATGGATGGAATAGGGATATTGGGCCATGACCCACCACGCTGGCCCAGTGCGGATTGGTGGGTGCTAACGACTGTAGATGCAACCGGGACCAACGGCTTAACGTGCCTTCCGAAGCAATCTTTGTTCAATAGCAATTATTACGTATAAATGACTAAAATTCAAGAAATACAAAAAGTGAAGAAAAACTACAAAGCCTGAACTAGGATTGTCGTGTGTTTCAGGCAAAGGAGATCTTAATATAAATCAACTTTAAAAAATCAATAGCACAATCAAAAAAGACAATAACAATAAACAAATATACTTAATCAAATTGAAATGTGATATACTTATTTAATCACATTTTATTTTTAAAGGGTCATCAAGTTCTCTGTATCTTCATTTGAAGGGTTTGTTGTAGGATTACTTTGGTGGTTTTAATATTTAGCGGATAAATATTCAGTTTTAAATTCAAACGGTTCTAAAGCAATGGATGGGTAAAACCTAGAAGAGGACGCATGTTTATTATATATTTTTTGAGGGCAAGCTTAATCGTTTCGTCTTTTGTAAGTAATATCAGGGTTGAATGGTCTAGCTTTAGGAAGGATGTTCAAGCACTTTATCATTTTAGCTGGTTCAGCTGTCATGCTCTGTAAACTTTGCAAGAGATATTTTTTCATTTATTTTGCAATCCTTACAACTACTCTTCCAGGTTTGGCCCTTTTTTTTGTTGGCTAAATGCGTTGCCCTAATCCCACTACCCCTGATAATATACATAGGGTATTTGACAAGTTTTAGAAAAGGATCTCACGTTATTGACTAATGTTTATGGAGCCCGTAAAAAGTAGATATTCATCATTCTGTTGTGTATTTCAGTAAAAATAACCAAATCAAAAACTCCATTTTCAAGTTGCCGCGAAAACGTTTCTCTAGACAATATGGCGTCTTACTAGTGTGTGACGTCACTCGACTATTATTAAAATGTAATGTCACTTTAACCGGAAGTTTACTTGTGTGTGACATCATTTTAGGCCAAGCCAATCCCTAGCGTTTCGTGTTACGTGACAATAGATAAGAAAACTATTATATATATCTTTTTCGTGGGTTTTTAGTAAAATTATGAATATTTGTAAAAATAGTAAAAACCCCTGCTAATATTCATTCTAAACACAGATGCTTACTATTGCCACTTTATTTTTAACACTCTCAAATACCTTATTTTATGTGTCATATACCTATTCAAGTAAATTTGGTAAAAGCATTGTATTTGTTCACCATTCGTAAGGTCTGTGTGTATCATTATAACTAACAGCCTTACACGTATAACATCTGGATTCATTAGCATAATAAATTGCAAACAGGTCTTAAACGCCGACTTTACACAACATAACACCTAATTAAAACAAATCGGGCAATAATTTTCTGTTATTGATGATGTAAATAAAATGTTTTGCTCGAGTACTGAAAACACTAAAATTGATTAATAAATTTAAAGATACTGCAGAATGTAAAAGATTTTATGAATGCAATTTATCTGTCCTACTAATATTATTAATGTGAAAGTCTGTATGTTTATATGTTTGTTACTCAATCGTTTGTTTTTTTTTTGGTTCCTGACTAAGATTAGTGTGGTTTAATTTGTAATATAATTTCGTTTTGTAGTTTAGATTTTGTTTAAAGTTAAATAAATAAATATTTCCAACACTCACACCAATTAGCCTAGCCCCAAAGTAAGCATTGTAAGGCTTGTGTTATGGGATACTATGGTAATGGATAGGACACATATATTGTACATATATAAATATATATTTATAGAACTACAAATTAAACATCCATGACTGGATCCGAACCCGGGAGGGACCTCTCGAGACGGCGACACCATGAAACCCGGCGTCCAAATCACGGCCACGGAGGTCGCCATAAATTAATAGATTCTTAAGTTGTTTTGTTTGAATGATATAAATATTTTCATGCTTTTATAATATTAGTTCAGTTAGTAGCATTTACTAGTAGTAGTAATGTTGTGGTAACAACAAGAAACCACCGAACCCTACACTGCGTGTGGCACGAAACGTACTTGTCCGGTTTTTTTTTTCAATTAAGTTAAAGACACACAGCAGGCGTTCCCCTGTATGACGAGAAGATTAAATTTAGAATTCCCCTTCTGAATATCTCAAACGAAACGTAGCTTTATAATGATTCGTTAAAACAGCAACTCGAGTAAGATAATTAAACTCATCGAGCTTTTGATTGCTGAGCTGTTATTTTATAATCTTACGTTTGAAATTTATAATTTTCAACTAATTTCGCATCTTGAGATTTGAAAGATCTCCCTTTTACTTTCTTTTATTAATTATTCATCTGTCATTCAACAGGAGGTATTACTGCCTCGTTTAATTTTACCTTTCAGTACTAAATCCGGATCATCCGTTATGAACTTAATCAGACGTCAATTCTCACCCTTGTGATTAAATCTCACCCTCCATCCAAATTAAGTACGTTCTGTGTAATATCATATGGCTTCGTAGACTTGTATTTGACGACGTGAGTAAATTCTTAAACGTAAATATAGGTAAAATGCAGAAAGAAGTACTTATAATAAAAAAATAACATTTATTTGTCCAATATGAATAGCTGATACGCCCTCGCTTCACTTCTATCATGTTTGATGACATATCTATGTTTGATGTCAGTTGTTCCGATACATATATTAGTAGCACTTGGTATTTCCAGGTCGAAGCAGTCAGAGTTCAGCTTTTTATCTATGTGTACTTTGTTATATTCACGAACTGCTTTAAATACAGCATACTTTTTGTCAGTACTGCTGCATTCTACAACAATAGGAGCATTTCCCTTTCCTCTGCGATAGATTCGTTGCATACACTCACGAGGTACATTGATATCTATAGTCGATAAAATACCTTCTACGATCTGATTCAGATTTTTATTGTCCAACTTAGTAATATTTCTTATGTCGAGTGCAGTTTTTGGTTGATTTCTCTGAAGATTTTCAAGTTGTTCCTCTGGAAAGTTGGATTTTGATATTTGCATTAATGCAATTATTTTCGAAAACAATTACTTTTTATTCAAATCATTTTGAGCATTTCTACTTTCTTGTAGATTTTTTTGTCTCAGTGTTGCTGTGGACTAGTGAGGCATTCTGAATCGTTAGCGCTTCAAGTATATTGCTAAGCTAATATTTTTTTGTTTTGGTTATTCTCGAATTCTTTAAACAAGGTTTCATTTCCTCTCCAAAACTGCCAAAATCATCGGGATTTTTCTTTTTTCTACCACTGATGTTTTGGAGGTAGTTCTTTACTTCTTTATTTAAATTGGAGAGTGATTAAATTTGTTATTGTCTGAAAGGAGCGACCGTTGTAGTGGCATCTTAAAATTTTACATAAGCTTTGATGAGCACTCTAAACACGTGATCACTTATGCGGTATAGTCGTGAGAATGGAATAACCTAATGTCCTTATTGTGCACAGGTATTTAACTTTTTATATGAGATTT